AGCAATGAGGACATATGGACACAGGGGAGGGGAACATCACACACTGGGGTCTGTTGGGTGGTGGAGGGCCTAGGGGAGGGATAGCAGGGGGTGGGGGAATTGGGAAGGGATAGCATGAGGAGAAATACCTAATGTAGGTGACAGGGAAATTGATGCAGCAAACCACCATGGCATGGGTATACCTATGTAACAATCCTGCATGATCTGCACATGTACCCCATAACTTAAAGTACAATTAAAAATAAAGAAAATTAAACAGAGCCCTAGTGTGTCAAATTTTGTGAATTTCAACATATCTACAGTCAGAATTCCTCCCAAGTTCGTAGGTCATTCTCACTCCACCCCAAGGTATTATAATGGTTTTCTCTTATTATTCGAAAATATTTTGGTTTCTCACCTTTTAAAGGGACACTAGTTTTTCTACTTGCTGGTGTAAGCTTTATAAAGAATTATCAGCATTAAAAACTAATTGAAAATTGTACTGTCTTTTCCAGAACACACATCATGTTCAAAAAAACAGTTCAATTCATGGAGCAAATTTAATATGTATTTTGAAGTATACCCAAATCATATCTTGAGATTTTCAATAATGGAGTAAGTGGTTATTACTTGTTTATATGATAATAACACTTTAAATTTTATCTCTAATACTATTTAAGGTAATATTTATATTAAAATTCTACTATATAAATATTGAGGGATTCTTCTAGAAACTTGTGAACCATTATAAATAATTTAATGCTGGCAAAATTCCCATATTCATGTTGCTTACTTTGAAGATTATTGGATGTCTGGAGGATTTTCCATATGGTGCCATGATCTTTTCCTCAGTAAAGCTACATTTCAGAAATTTAGCAACTGACAACTTTTGGTAGACTTTAAAATAAATGACATCAATTATAAACCTTCCAGATTATTTTATATTTTTTTAATTCTTCTCAAAAATATGTCTTAGCAAGTGACATATTTTTTGAAGTATTCCACAATATATAATATATAATGTAAATAAAACATATATTTGTTTTTTATATTATAATTTATCAAGTAGTTTGGAAAAAATATTATTCAATATATTTCACATATTATTGTAACCTGCCAATTTGCAGATGGTCATCAAAGGGTTCATGAATGCTTAATTATATAAAAACTGTTATTTGAATATGCTTATCAATATATGTTTTATTGTTGTTAGTTTTCCTGTGGAAGAATCCCTAAAGGTAATTTACTTAGCAGAGGGCATCTATAACCATAAAAAATTAAGACTCACTGGATATGTGTAAAATTATCATTATGTGCTTTCATAGTATGCTTATAAGAGTTGGTACTTAATTGTCACTCAATTTGTGTCAAGCATTTTTATTAAGTGATTTACATATAATATCCCATTTACTTGTAGTAACAATGAAGTAGGCTCCAATTTTATATCCAGTTTATGATTGAATCACAGGGATTTCATAATATGCCCCAAATCATCAAGCAAGGATTTGAACCTGGGATACCTGTTTCCAGAGTCTGTGATATAATGCATTATGTTAAATGATACTTTATTAAACAGCCATATGGTTAAGTTATGGGCCTAACTTTGATACAGTAACTTTATATATGTTGTCTCTTAGGGTCACCACAATCACATTATGAATTAAATACAGTTTATTGTCTACATTTATGAAAGAGAAAACTAGAATTTGGGTAGTTTCATATATAAATGGGATGATGTCTATACCACTTGACTTCAGATATTGCCCATTGAATGGAAATTTCCCTTTGTTTCTCTCCTTGTATACATTACATGTAAAGCAAATAAAAGGTTTGAGAACAGAAAATATGTTTGGACACCAGTGTTTATGTACCACATAGGAAGGGTTAGAAATGCAATGACGTTGAAATATTGGAAAAAAGTCCAGCATTTCTATTCTTACTAAAAACAGTTTTCATGAAAAGGAATCATTATGGACAGCCAACTTTCCTCTGGAGTACCTTGGGATTTCTTAGCAGTTTAGATTTTTGCCAAACTCAGAAATCCTGGAGAAAATCCACAGATGTTAGCCTTGTTGGTGCTTATTGTTTGCTTTCCTCTGCCTTCATCTCTTTACATTAAATAAATCCTGACTTAGCCTCAGAAGGCCACATCTGCTTAATGGACTGGAAGATCTACCTGCTCTAGGCTTTCAGGTACTGTTTCTGATGAGAGTCCAAACCTATTTCCCTGTTGTCTGTATCAGGAGTTCACATCTTGCACTTACCCCACCTCTTTAATCTTCCTATCTTTTTCCAATTCTTTATATTCTCCCCTCCTTCCAATATACCTTTGAACCTGGCTCATATTTATCTTCTTTATCCTGTCAATCTTTTAACTCTCTGATTTTATTATCTATTCTGGCAGTCTATCTCAATACAGATAGAATTTGATTGAATGCGATATTTAATACATATCAACCACGTACCAGGATCTCACTGAAACCTGGGAATGAACCATGAAACGCATTGTAGTGTAGTGCAAGGAACATAGATAAGCACTACACTATAACTAAGTAGACCATAATACGTTATTTCCTAGCTGGGCAGCTTCATTCATTTACTTAGTGTACTGGAGCCTTTTTTCACACCAGTTAATAGAAATAATACATGTATCTCCCAGAGTTATTCAGAAATACTACATGAAATCTTGTAAACTATAGCTTGCTAAGCATTTTGTAAAATAAAAGTAACTAAAAGAAGACTATTCTTGGATCAATGATGATAATATAGTGTCATAAAGCAAGGATTATGAATCATCCAAGTCTGAACAACAAGATCCATTTAAAATAATTTATAAATTGCAATGCTATGGTAAATGTTAATTTCTAGTTCTTTATTCAAAAATTTTGTTGAGTATCTTCTGTGTGCTTGACTCTTCATTTAGAAATATATCAGATGCAAAGTCGTGTAAAAAATGATTCCTGTTAGCATTTTGGCATAGATCCTTGCAGTATTTATAAATACCTTTATCTACCTATATCTAGACATCTGTAAATTCCACTTTTGTGAAGATAAAATCAGATTATACTATTTAAAAAATTAAATAAATATAATAAGTCTAGTCCATTTTCCACTTCCCTCCTACTTCAGCACTGGGACTGTTTTATTTATGACTCATTGTGCTAAAGGAAGTTAATAAAAGTGTTAAGATGAAGATGTTTCTAACCTAGTAGAGAAAATATACATTGTTCTCTACTATCATATTAAAATAAAATGTCTTGCCTGGTCGTTCTCCATCCTCTAATGTTGATGCAATTTTTAAATTGTACTTATTTATTTACCATCAAGCATATCTATTTCCCACCTATCCCACTGAAATTAAAGTGCCATGAGAACAGGATATTGATTATCTTATTCATGGCTACATCCCAGGATGTACACAGAAGTTGGTATTAGAAGCTACTCCAAGCATGTATATTGTATAATAATGAATTTGTATGATTATATGAACATTCTCTCTTGTTCTCTCTCGCTCTCTTTCTCTCTCCCCCTTTCCTTTTCTCTGTTCTTCAAACTCTATGAGGGCATAAATTATGTTTATTTTGTTGTCCCCATATGCCTTCCAAAATTTTAAACATATGCTTTTTAAAAATATTGTAAATAATTGTTTATGTTTAAAAATGTATATATGTTTAAAAATATTATAAATAATTGATCAATTAAAGGGGAAATGAGACTTCCTTTCTTCATTTCTTTAGAAAATATTCATCATATAAACTTGCCTTTTCTTTCCAGAGTAACTTATGTTAGCCTTAATAGAACCTTTTGGTTATGTTCTGATATTTGGTGATAGTTTTAATATGTGTATATTTATTGTCTCACCTAGATAACATGTTTATTATATTCCTTATTAGGGGCAAAGAGTTATTACATGCAAGTTGCTACAGAACTGAATTTTTAATATCAGGCACAAATTTCACTTCCTCTATATCTGGCTCTATCCTATATGGATCAGTGTTCTGTGTTATCTTCCTTGAGAGTTTATGGGAGATTGCTATTAAACTTTTACTTTTTTTATTAGAATGTAAGTGGATTTGTTTCTTTTTCTTTTCTAAAAATCCTTTTATTGTAGCTTACAAACAATAAGGTAACATTTTAAGTAAGTAAGAAAGAAGAGGCAACAGGAAAACAAATGGCAATAGGAAAGAGATCAATACACAAAAACTAGACTGTGAAATACCAAGTATAATCTTTGCAAGGGTGAGCTGAGCTGCACATTTAACATGAGTGGTTGTAATCATAAAGAGAGTAAAATGGTATTTTATATTATTTACTATGACAAATATTAATATTTTTCTAAGGAATATAATTATTGTCAATAATAAGACTAGAAAGATTTCGCTCCCAGTTACCTTTGAGAAGATAACCAGTTTAAACCAATGAACAACATCTCTCAACAACAGTGCTACTATTGACGATAATTCTTAGCCTATTTATCGCACACCACAGCCTCATTCTGCAGAGGCAAGTCCACCAGGGACCAGTGTTTTATAGTTCAGGCCTGTGTCTTTCTGCTGATCTGGCTTAATATGAGGAATTGGGATTGTGGTTTTTTGTTTTGTTTTTTGAGATGGAGTTTTGCTCTTGTTACCCAGGCTGGAGTGCAATGGCGCGGTTTTGACTCACCACAACCTCCGCTTCCTGGGTTCCGGCAATTCTCCTGCGTCAGCCTCCCGAGTAGCTGGGACTACAGGTGCGCACCAACATACCCAGCTAATTTTTGTATTTTTAGTAGAGACGGGTTTCACCTTGGTGACCAGGATGATATCGATCTTTTGACCTCGTGATCCACCCGCCTCGGCCTCCCAAAGTGCTGGGATTATAGGCGTGAGCCACCGCGCCCGGCCAGGATTGTGTTCTTTTAGGAAACCCTGTGCTTTTGACAGACAGGTTCCCAGATCTATTCCCCTGGCAATACTTGGAGTGCTGATACATTCATATAATTGAAGAAACTTTTGTAATTTTCCAGGGAAACCATTTACCTGGGGCAGAGATATGGTTGCTTCAGACATGCAGTCTGCACTTTGAATAAAAGTACATTCTCATCACTGGTGGGAGCCTGGCAGGAAACCCCAGGATACAACAAAAGACCTAAAGCTGAAAAAAAAAAAAAAATCAATAATAAAGGATTTACAAAGATAAATGAAATTTAATCAGGCACCCTTGCAGTGGTCATGTGAGTGAATCTAAACATTGCCTTGGTCAATTTGGCTTGGAGTTCTTACTACTGACATAAAAAAGCATTAATTTTTATTCTTTGAACAAAATTGATGGCAAGGGAGGGATTTTGCTTGGTATCAGAGGCAGGAGACAGAGCACAAGAGTAGGGGATTTTGCCCCAGCAACATGAATTCAGATATATTCCTTGGAGAAAATGCACATTCTTTCTTGCATTAGATAGCTCCATTTCTTTAATGATGACATTATTCCAGTTTGCAGATACACTTTAAGGCACATACAAAAATTAGATATAGAAGTAAATATTTAATAAGAGAAAAGGAATTATTTAAAAATGATTAATACTATAGTGTTACACAACCCAGACACTTGTGCAGTGAAGGACTGTAAAACATTAATATCTTTGTGTAAAATCCCCTCTTCTTCATCATTATAGAGCTGCAGAGAGAATTATGGTGGTTACGAGAGGCTGGGCTGGGTGGTTGGCAGATGGGGAAAGGGGAAGATGTTGGTAAAAAGATATGAAGTTTTAGTTAGGAGGAGTAAATTATATTCATGTTTTGCACAGCATGGTGATTGGAGTTAACCAATAATGTATATTTCATAATAGCTAAAAGATGATTTTAAATGCTTTCACCAGAGAGAAATAATATTTTGGGTAATGGATATGCTAATTAGCCTGATTTAATCATTACAGAATGTTTACATGCTTGGAAACACCACATTGTACCCAATAAATACATGTAGACTATTATTATTTCTCCGTCAAAAATAAATAAATTACCATAGAAAACCATAATCATAAAAAGAACTCAGGTCCTTATGGCCATAGAACTCCCTTACCCTTATATTATTCTGGGTGATATGATGGTTATCCCTCAAAGAATCCTTTGTAAACAGTATTAGAAAGGAGAAAGTTGTCCTTCCAGACTTGCTCTACACCAGCTGCCACACTGATTTCCTGGGATAGCCACAGCTGTGGCAGTTCCCAGGCTCATACAGCATTCGTCTGAAGTCTGCTCTCATACATTTTCTGTAATAAACAGGGCTTCTTTTACCTCCCCTAGTCCTCTTCCTTGTGTAGTTGCCCAGCTGATATACCCATTTTTTCTCTCCAGACTTCTCCCACCCAACACACACACACAAGCATACAAGTATTTTTAAGACCACGAGCATTTGTAAACTTAATTGAGATAGACTGGATTTTTTGTTAATCTGGAAATATGAAGGATTCAAGCATGTGGGTCTTATTTACACCCCAAATGATAAATCCAGACAATGTTGTGATTAGAGTTATACTGAAAAACACTGAGTTAACAAAGAACAAGTTTGTTGGGGCCATCCTCCTATGATTTCTATGGGGCCTTACACAAAGAGTACAGAACTAATTTAAAGTCAGGAACCATATTTTCTTTATCACCTCAACAATCTTTTGTTACTGATGATGAATTCATATGGGTTTGCAGCAACCTCAGTTTTTGTCTCCTCAGAGGAAAGAATTCAACTGAGGGGCATAAGGCAGAGTGGAAAGCAAGGAAAAATTCAGAGCAGGAGTGAAAATTTATTAAAAAGCTTTAGAGCAGGAATGAGAGTAAATACACTTGGAAGAGGGCCAGGCAGGCTACTTGAGAGATTAAGTACACAGTTTGACCTTTTGGCTTGGGGTTTTATACATTGACATATTTCTGAGGTCTTGTGTTCCTTCTCCCCTTACTTTTCCCCTGGGGTGGGGTGGTTTCTATGCACAGTGACCTGCTAGCATTTGGGAGAGGCCACATGCGCAGTGTGGTTACTGGAGTTGTAGCCGTGCTCATTTGAAGCATTTTTCTCTTACCAGTCTAGTGTTCCTAGAAAAGGGTCATTGCCATTTTACCCCTGAGTGTGTTTGAGCCCACTTGCCCAACTTCTGAGATCTTACTGGGAGGTACTGCTCATGCTCACCAGTTTCAGATGTTTTTATCTATTGGGACACTGTCTTTCCCTGGTGCCAGCTGCGACCAATGATTATCTTAGAGAGACAGTGTAACATGCTTGAGCATCACCTCATGGTCATCTGACATTCCTTGAGGAGCTGGGGAGGCCCTCTCCTGCCCTGCTCATGTCTGACTAGCTACCTACTGTAACACCTTTATGTCATAATGTCAAGCCTCATATAGTGCTTCATATCTAAGAATGATGTAAGGACTTGACTAGAAGCACAGTTTTTCATTTTTGAAAATAAACGAATATGTGCAGAAACTTCCTAGAATTTATAGAATTCACCTATATTCTACTGAAATATGAATAGCATTTATTTCATATGGCCATATTAACAATGATAAGAAAAAATACACTTTACAGGTTACTCTGTAATCTAAAATGTGCTTTCATATTTATTGATTCTTATTTGTTCATCGAAGTTCTGTCAAACATGAAGGGAGAGAACCATCTATTTTAAATTATACCCTTTGATAAAATTGCATAAAAACATTTCTACTTTCAGTTACACAGAGATAACAGAACTCAATTCTGTTTGAATAGGAGTTCCACTATATTTTCAGTTCTTTGCACATCAGTCTGAATGGCAACCAGCCCTTTATTTAGAGAATCTTAATTTTCAGCTGTTGGCACTGCCATCCTTTCAGCTACTCTTAGCCTCTAGAGCCTCTGTATAATAAATAATACAACCTGCTGGAAGCCTTCAATAGGTCTAAATGTTTCTGATAATATGCCTGTGGAATGTTAGACCAGATTCTTAGAACTTCCCCAAAATATAGAAATTACAAAACATTTTTGGGTTTAAAAGGACATACATTAATGAACTGCCTGACTTTAGATGAGACATCCATTTTTCATCTCAATCACTGAGTACTTATTGCTGTCTGCTATGTAAATGGCTGGGGAAGCTAACCACCTATTATAAATGACCACACTCTACCATATCTGCATTAAGCTTGATCTACAGGATTGCAGTATTAGTTTGGGAACCAGTATATTAGAGACACAAACCCTAGATGAAAAAATAAGTTCTTGTTCAATTCTGAAAGGAAAAAAAAGCATTTTGTTTCTCATTCACACCTACAAATCCTGCCATATCATGCTGCTTTCAACTTCTAATCCCTGTGGCAGATTTCTGATAGCCTGGGAAGAAGTTAAAACTTCCATAGTGTTTCATACTTAGGGCACAGATAAGAAAGAAAATAACAAATGCAAGGCAAGCCTTATATTTTCATCTCAAATTATTCTCTCACAAAGTCCTAATGGACAAGGTGGGATGTTACAGGGATGAGTACACTTTTAAGAATGCTTTCAAGCTTTTTGAAATATAGCTAGTTTCATGCTAAGTGCTAAAGAAGAGGTTTTTGCAAAAAGAATTGTATTTGCTATTGTTTGTACATATAATACAGACCTTTCTAGTTTTTGAGGTTTTAGCACACTGATATATTTTACGAAGCTAGATTTGTAGTCAAAGTGTTAAAATCTCATCCCATGTGGAATATAAGAAAAAACTCAGTTTAGTTTAAGAATGCTGATCAACAGTCTGTATTTCCATTATTTACAATTTAGCTATTCCAAATTGGAGATGAACTTATTCCTAATTTTAAAGTTATACTAATTTTGCATACTTTTCTAATATTTATGAAAAGTTTGAAATGGGGCCAGTGACATTTTTCCAGTAAAATACTTCGTTGAAGATAGCAAACTCATTGAAGAGAACACTTGAACTCATAAATAGGAGGACATGTCAAGTAAGTGTCAGTGACATCTCAAGCATGATGGCTATAAATAATTCCCTTTTTCTTTGTCTTCTATGACAGTGCTGTTCTGGCCTTCCTGGCATTTCTCTTTTCTAGTAATTTGACCTCAATGTTTTAACATTTATTAAGGAACTAAAATTGTTACTCTATTTCCATGGAAAGCACAACTCCGCTCAAGAATTTGATATGCATTAATTGATACAGGAATGTTTACTCTTAATTATAATTTTAACACCAAATTTCAACGTACTTATCTAAACTATTTGATATATCCTATTTGCTTCCTTGCTATGTCATCAAACAAAATGTATCAAAAATGAAGCTCTATTGAAGTCTATCTAACTTAGTGACAAGTGTGTGCAAGAGATTATAATAGGTTTAACATTTATGGTCTTTACCCTTAGATTGATATGTTACTTGACTGAATATGTATGTGACCACTGCTCTTCAATTTTATTAACACTTTCTGAATGTACTCTGTATATCAAGAGACCCAGTAATAATTGCTGTAGAAGCAAGGATGAATAAAATGCTTTCTAGTCTTTTATTATAGCATGCCACAAAACTAGCTTCTGAATAAATTGTCACAAAATTTATTTGAATTAAATATATGAATTTTCTGGCGGTTAGGTAAATTTTCAAAGATACGATAAAACCATAACTTTTCTAAGATACAATAATGAAGCCAAATAAATAAAAAGAACAGCTATTTTAAATAGGACATAGGGGGCATTAGCAAAAGGAAATTTAGGTTATCCCGGATATATGCATATACATATGTATAGACATACTATATGTGTGTGTGTGTGTGTGTGTGTGTGTGTGTGTGTATGTTTATATATACAATGTGTGTGCTATGTATGTGTGTGTGCAGGTATATATAGAGTACATATATACTATACACATGCTACCTATATATAATGTATGTTTGTGTATATATGTATGTAAATATATGCATGTATATATACATATACACATATATATACAGAAACATACACCAAGGATTAAAATATTCAAAGGCAATAAAATAATTCCCTTTGGTCTCTGGCCCTCAATGAAGAACAAAGGAAAACTAAGTTATCACTCTAGGAATAATCCACAATTTAGACTCTCAAATTTTCAACATATTAGAGTCAATAAAGTCAAACAATGAGCAGGCAACAAAAGACGAAATAATGACCA